TTTAAAGAAATACCTCGTGTAATCCTTTTTATAATTAGTTTTTAGCATCACTTCAGACCAATGTTTTGTCGAGGCAGCCTGATCTGACTCCTTCTTTCTCCTTGGTCACGGCTGGATTTATAAAGTTGCTTTAATGTGGAACCAAATTAAAACGCCATACAAAAATAAAACCTATTTCTTTATTTTTTTTAACTTCTGAAAACGATGTTTGGATGCTACTGCGGAGAAGAAGAAAAACATATTTCTAGCCCACACTCATAATAATTAGAATAAAAATAATAAAATTAAGAGAGCAGAGATAATGTATCAAAGGGTTTTTCCCCCTGTGAGTATTAGCTTAGGGCTTTAGTCTCCTCTGATCCTCACTAACAGTATTTTGGCCCCCGGTGGTACACAAATCGCCATGTTGTCAGTTTAGGAGCTTCAGTTTCTGTATCGATCTGAAAGGCAGAGCGCGGGTGGAAAACCGCAAGCTGCTCAGGGCACACAGCTAAATCTAAATATCCATAAAGAAAAACTCAGCCAAACCGGATTATGGAGGAGCACTCAGGGTTCCTGTGCCACTCTGTTCTCTCTCCAGTTGCCATGCACATCTTCAACTGTCATTTATGGCCGGCGTTGCGTTTTATTCTTTATGTATTTCTTTGCGGCGGAGCCCGTTCCCACCTCATCTGTCATAACTCGGAGTGTCCTGCAGGGCTTTGTACAACAGTAGCCCTGCATCATCCACCATTACTCACTGCACTCTCAACAGGCCGTATTTCTTTGTTAAACAAAGACACTCGGGGATTTCAGTGGCTTACAAAAATCATTTTATACTTTGGTTTAATTAACACAACACAACATTGTAAAACTGAACATACTTGTGCTTATTTTGGACAGCCAAATAAATCGAATTGTTTCCCCCTTAAGCTGGCCCTGCATGTCTCAGTTTCACTCCAAACTTGGCAGCATTTGCAGATTTGATTAAAAGACTAATATCTAATCGGTTTGGGTATGATTAATCAGTGCAGAACACAATCTGCGGTAAAAGGTTAACAGTGCAGGCTCCATAAGATAACAGAAGACAAGTTGTAACAAAAACAGCAGAAGCTATGATACCACTCCTCATTTATCACTAGCGTAATAAAAAAGTTTGTAAAAGGAAAAAAACACGTTTTCGCCTTAAATGTCAGGGGGTGAAGTCTTATTTAACTGTAAGTCTAAACATTTGTGTTCGTGCGTAAAGGCAGAACCTAAACGAAGATTAAAGTTTAAAAAATGTAATAAAAAGAATGAGTCTGAGACAGTTAAATAGAAAACGGACAGACTGCATGCTTTTAGTTTCCTATCTGTCTATTTATCTGTTTCTTGTTTTCATCCACAACACTATCTGACAGGTTTTTCCTCTCAACTTTCTTTCCCACTGCTCAGTAGCAGCGTCGGTCAGCAGGTCACATACAGTAACAGGAGATGCAACCCAAACAAACCCGCTTTATGACGGACAATAAAATACCGAGCACATGACTGACTGACAGGCCAACAAACGGGGATCATAAAGAAGCTACTGGGAGATGGGGAGGAGGGAAGGGGAGAAAGGAAAGACAGCAGAGAGGCTGACAGAGGAAACAGACGTCAGTTTTATGACGGGGATCATAAAATATGCAAGAAAGAGGGGAAAAGGAAGGAGAAGACACTCACCGTTGCACGCGTTCATCCGCTGCATCCACGGATAAATTGGGGTTGACGCCGATTGCTTGTCGTCCAGCGTTTCTCCAAACAGCACTTTCCCACTCAGCCCCGCGCACTCCGCTTTACGGTGTAAGCCGTCCTGGCTCAGCGCGAGCTGGTGCTCTTCGAGGCTGCACGGGTGCTCCTTGTCCCGGTAGAAGCTTGTGGCAGCAGCTGCAGCCGCCGCTGCTGCCGCCGCCGTGGCGTAGTCGCAGGCACCGGCTCCGGTTGCGCCCCCTACGCCGACCCCTGCCCCTGCCCGGTGCCCGCCGTACGCTCCGTTCGCCGCCTGTTGGTAGTAGGAGGATGCAGAATACGGTTTCTCCTGGTGCACACCGCCGCTCGCGCCGTAAGCCACGGCCGCGGCAGCGGAAACGGCTGCTGCCGGGTAGTGCCTGAGCGGGTGGTCGGCGGCGTATCCCGACGAATAGAGCGGGATCTGACCCAGGAACGACTCCGCCGCCTGCCCTCCTCCACCCGTTCCCGGTAGCGACACCGGGAAAGAGGAGTTGACAAAATAGGAACTCATCGGGAGAAAGTGTAGGAGAAGAAGGAAGAGGACAGATGAGAGGAGAGGAGAAGAAGAGGACAGGGGAGGACAGGACAGGACAGGAGGGCACGAGACAAACACAACAACAACGTTCACGCAATGAAGAAGAAGGAGGAGGAGTAGAAGGAGGCTAACGGCTAACGGCTAACGGTTCTCCCTCCCGTCCTCCTTCCTCTGCCTTCCCCTGCCTTCCACTTTATGATTTGTTGTGTTTTATAGCCGACAGTCCGACGGGCTGCTGCTATCACTTAGTTTATCGCAGATTGGGAGGAGGGGGTGAGGAGGTGAGGGTGAGAGGAGGGGAAGGGGGTATCTGGGGTGGCTGAGTGCCAGTGTGGGACAGAACGAGAGAGCGGGCGGGGGGGGGGACAAGAGAAAGAGAGAGAGAGTCTGTGTGCGTTTCTGTGCTGAAAAGACGGGATGGGGCGAGGAGGGGTATAAGACGCAGAGACCAGCTGACCTGAGACTGACCAATGGGAAGCTTTCGTGCCTGGCATTCGTTCGCCCCTTTTCCTTTCGTTGGAGAGAGGAAGAAGAGGAGGAAGAGGAGGAAGAGGAGGGGGGGCTGGGAAACTCTACCGCGAGCCCTCTCTCCCCCACCACCTCCCCCTTTCCTATTTCCCTTCTTCAATCTCCCACTCCCCGTCTCTCTTTCTAATTCTCATTCAATCTCTCTTTCTAATCTTCCTCTGGTTCCCGGTGAGATTGCGCAATCACACCGGAATCCTCCGCGCGTTAAATTGATTCTTTCTCTCCCTGTGTGTCTTCTTCCGTCTGTTGTTGGACCCATAAAAACCAGCAGCTCACACACACGCACGCGCGGGGAGGGGTGGGGGGGTGGGGGGGGGCTGCTGCACCACCAAAGGGAACCGAATAATAAAACATATTCCCGGCGCTTTGCAGATAATACCGACCGCATTAAAATGAATTTGCAGAGCATAAATCACAGCCGGGAGCGCGCAGGAGTCATGTGTGGTCCCGTGTGCGTGTGTGGCGGGGATGTGAGTTAGCCAACACAATAATGTGGGCTATGCACATCTATAATTTAAGTGTTTGTACATTTGTAATTGGTATATTTGGGTCGGTGGGTAGATTTATACCCCCACCCCGGTCAGTGTGTGTGTGTGTGTGTGTGTGTGTCCTTTTATTACAGCAGGCTTTTCATCGCCGTTATTTTCTCCATCAGAGGAGTGATCGATAATCTGGAAGGGATTTTTCTGATAGCTGTTCATGTTGTCGTTTTATTGATGAACGCTGCTCTGTCTCGTGCTCTGCTGCGTGTTAGGTCCGAGCTAGGATGTCTGTAGAAAATCAAAGCTGAAGTTTTCCATCTGTATTCTGCAGGAGTCGATTCGGCTTGATCAATGTGCGCAATCACGTATTATTTTCTTCTTCCGTGACACTGATTAGGCTTACATGTAAAAGGAGAAGAGGGAAGGAAGCAGGCTCGAGGTTTCCCAATTTTTCCCCCTTTCTTGACACTGTTTAGCCTGTTTCCTCGCGCCTGGAACTCTTTCCATAGATATTAAAGTGAAATATAGTTATACAAACAGCCTAGATTTAGCCTAAACAATACATTCTATAGGCCTAGTAAAAATTGCTTTTATAGCAAGTTTATAATATTATTATTATATTAGCATCCAGCAATGACTTATTATTATTATTATTATTATTACGAATTGCAAAGCAGACCTAAATTCATCATGTTTAGGAAATTACACAGATTACACAAACATTTACATAAATAAATAGAAATAAATTAAAATTTAAAAAATCATGATTGGAACATAAAATATAAATGTTTGACGAAATACATAGTCTGAAAAAAAACTCAAGCAGCTGTTTCCATAATATGTATCACATAACCTACTTGGAATTTAATTTTTTATCAATTAATTGATCATTGAAACAAAATGAAGTATTAAAAACTATTTTTCATGAAAAGAATATTGACTCTATTCACTTAAATACACCACGGCTATGCCACAATAATGTAGCCTATATGGCCTAGATAGCATATATATATAACAAACTTGTTATTAATATTCCATTACAACGTCATTATGGCGTCTTTTAGCACAAACGTTTTAGTTTTCAAAAATATGAATTTTTGAGTAGGCCTAAATAAAACCAACATGTAATGAAACAATGTTGCACTCTGCGCGCGCGCACACACACACACACACACACCATATGTAGGCCTACTATTATTTTGTTCTTCGGCTTACAAAATTATAAAAGAAATGTCATTGAAATAAGTGATACGCTTTCTTTTCAGGACTACTCTTTTCTACCGTGTCTTCTTCTAAAAGAGAGAAATAAAAGAGTGAGAACAAGAAAAGCTACGTCGGCCTGCTTTTCATTCACACTTACAAACGGAATATGTGTCGCTGAGGTCGTAAAATAACCGCAGCCATAAATAAGTCTCCCTCTCTCTGTCTTTCTGTGTTTCCCCTACAGGCTCTGACTTGTCTGCATGGCCAAACTGCAGACAACCCGACTGACAAATAGAGACAAAGACTCTATTTTTACTTTTACTTCACCCTCCCGCCCCCATCCATTCCTACACGTCTTCTCTCTTTTTAAAGTAACACTGTTCAGAGCAGGGAGACAGATAATAAGTTTAATCCTCCGACTCCTGCTTTCTGTGCAGGATCACACAGACAGATGAGGAATCTCTCTTTTTAACTTTCATTTTGACCTCTCTCCCTCTCTCTCTCTCCCTCTCGCTCCCTGGCAGGACGCTCCGTTTCCTCTCTGCTTTGTGGGAACGGGAAGCAGCAGCATTGTGTTGGAGCGGACTGGGTTTAATCATTAATGCGCACTAACAGTCGGGACAGGACAGGCATGGCCTACAGCCTGGGACACACACAGGACGGTAATACCATTATTATATATACACCCCGTATGCATTTGCACGGTCTTAAACGTGATTGTGGCTTTGGCATATTCTCAGTGGTACCTGCTCAGCAGCCTGGCAGGCAAGTAGCCAATGACTTTCTGACAGAAGAGTGACATATTCAGATTTATCCAGTGTAGCAGTGAGAGTCAACACGAGTGTGTTGACACAGGAAGATGAATATGCTGGTAAGAAAACGTCTCCACCATGTCTTGAATTAAATGATATCACGCAGCAGAAATGAGTGGCCTCAGCAGGTGAGGTTCAAGTGTCTCTAACAATGCTAGCACTCAGAAGTATGAACCATGAGGGCTATGATGTCCTTCAGTAACATACAATCTGCATTTGAACGGAATAGATTTTTAAATCCTATATGACACTTTTACCTTGATAACCAGTGCAGATGTAGTTGATGAAATTCTATTCAAAAATACATACACTTTAAGTGTTATTGCATACAAAATAATGCCTGCTATCAGCCTAGTGGCACAATGTAGCATTATGACATTATGCCTGCAAGCTTTTTACCAAAGCCTAGATGTAACTTTATAACATGACAATTATATAATAATAGTGTTCAATTCTATCACACCGTAGGCTACTTCAACTGAGATCTGTGTCTAATGTGAGTTACTGCTTCATGGAGCAGATCTTGAAGGCAACACTGTGACCTCATTTCTGCTACAATATCATGTGACTGGCCTGAAATATTCATACAGTAGCCTGTATGCTCTGTCTGTGTAGTCTAGGTGGAATGATCGGGTTCTTGTTTGTCGTTGCAGGTGGGCTGCAGGGAGAAGCGCTAACCAGGGGGAAGGACTCGGGACCGGAAACGGAGACTGGGAACTGTTTGCTGAACGAAAACTGGGAGTCTATGTGTGTTGGAAGCAGCAGTTCAGCCTATGTGTCTGTGAGAGACAGAAGGAGAGACACGTAAAGGGATAACAGAAGGACATATGCCCACCTGAAAGGGAGACAGTGGCGTCTTCTGTTACTTAACTGTCACCGTGTTGTGACTGTCTGTTTGAAGTTAGTTTTGCATTTTTTAGCTTAGCCAGACATAAACCCTGCATGCCTTAGGCAGATATTGAAAAAGCTAGGCGACATGTGTGCTGCAGTTCTTTTACACTGTTTACACTCCTGCTCAAAACATTTAGGCCTAACATACACTGTGCCGAATGTTTCCCAGAAAGGCACTAGGTTTAAGGACTTTCATCACGCAGTTGCGACCATCATGAATAGCCTACAGGACTCAAATGTAGCACTAAAAAATAATAATTATTTATAAAATAATTAACATTTCGCAGCGAAATAGGAGAATTACAACAATCATCTGTTTTACTTTTAATAGTCTGTTACCAAAAACACCAAGATAATAGGCCTACTGTTAGGCAAGCCTAGCCTACTATAGGCTACTACTACTACCAATAATAATACTTTTATTATTATTATTATTATTATTATTATTATTATTATTATTTGAAGAACAAGAACAAGAACAAGAAATAGAAACAGTGTCAGTCGGCAAAAATATGGGCCTTACTGAAAAAGAATGATATTCTGGGATGTGCCTCCCATTTTCGAAAATAATAGCAACCTTCGTTGTGTTTAAGAGTTTGCATTGCGACAGGAAGATAATTACACTACAAACAGTAGGTTTTTCATAAAGGATATGCGTTTTAAGCCTGCTATATTCCTGCTCAGGAAACCAGGCTGGTGTGGCTGTGATTGAGCTGCAGTGTAAACAGTTAAGAGCTGCTCAAGGAACTCCAGGAATCTGAGAAACTTCAGAGATTATCGACAATTGAGGTTGAAGGAGCCAGACTGCTGCTTTATAGCTTTATGGCTCTTTTTCACCTCGTACGCGCGCGCGTTTTCTGTGTGTGTGTGTGTGAGAGAGAGAGAGAGAGAGAGAGAGAGAGACCTCTGGACTTTTATGGCTTCTTGACCGTTTATGACTCCTTGTAAAGTCCGAGGAATGGCGACGAACTGAAAAACAGGCCCGCAGCAAACAGCAGATGAACAAATGTGCTGTGCTGCACACACACACACAAGAGACACACACACCAACACACTGACACTGTACAGTTCATCTGCGGTTCATTTCAGCCCCGGCACTGCTCTAATCGCCTGCTTTTCACTCAGTAGCTGTTATTAACAAGCACTGTGAATAATTATCTGTCCGTGAAATTAAACCTTCGCTATTTATTTCATTGACATAGGCCTACAATTTTTTACCAGAGTTTTTTTATATGCATTTACCGGCTGACAGAGGAGGTACGAAGAAGATTACAGTTATAATTTAAAAAACACCATTTTTTTTTAAATTAAAAACGAATATTTCCTACATAAAACATGTTCTTTGACGCCATCAATGTATTTTTTTTTTTTTTTTATATTAGGAAATCGTTCACAAGCATTTCACAACTCCACAGTAGTCTAGCTTACCTAAACGAAATGTAAATTCAGAAATGTTCTTTTCTCCGGGTGATGGGAGAGAAATATGTTGTATGTAAAATAGGCTAATAGGTGGTTTTCGTCCCAAAGTTAAATAACTGTTAGAATCGGTTGTGACTTGTTTAAATTAGCAAGTAGATCATCAAAAGCGGGACTTCACCTAAAGCCACCCTGTTTTCTTTCCACATAGCCTAATGCTCATGCTTTTAGAGAGGGAAGGCTAGATACACCGGTAGGGAGGTGTGTGTGTGTGTGTGTGTGTGTGTGTTTTCTGTGTGTTGACCGGACTCTCCTGCGCGAGTTAATGACAAACTGAAAGAAACTGCCTCACTAGTGCTTTTTGGCTTTAATGTATTAATCGTTTCCAGGCAGCGCAAGCCGGCTGCCGCGTCCTTCACGGCACCATGAGCTCGTGCTCCGGGTGAGTTCACCGGATTGTTACCGATGGGCGCGAGCCCTCGGCCGCATAAGTGCCCCAGGACGAGTTAAAGATTAACGTACAGATGAATGCAGCATCACGGGGAGGGCCGCTTGTTTTTCACCAAGTCCCTGCTAAATGAGGAAGAAGCGGACACGCGCACACGCAGGTGCCCGATATACCTAATATACCTACATTATCAGAATTACTTAATTTCATTTAATTAATCATGTGTTGCAATAAAATTATATAAAATGTAAAACAAAAAATAATAACATTTGAGATGTTTTATAGATTATTTTGTGGCATTAACATCAGCGCTATTAGAACTATTAATTAGTTTGTGAACATTATTTATAACAATAATTATAATATGAAGGCTTAATATATTGCACACTCTGTAACAATAGGCTAAAACTAGTATCACAGTTTTAATGTTGTTAATACCAAGAATGTAGTTCCTAAAAATTAAGTTTCACTTATTACCTCTGAGCCTGCAGTGTGTTTCTAGTTTACCATTAGCCTAATAAAACCCAAGTAGAACTGTTCTTTCTATGAATTTGTTGGTGCATTTAAATCGTTTATATGCAGCTAAATATTAATGTGTTCTCCCCTCTGATGCTACCGCCCTGATAATCACAATACCGCCACACAGAAAATGTCCACCAGAAAACAAACAGACGAGAGGGGAAATACTGATTTTCCATCTGATCTGAATGCCGGATTAAAGTCAGAAGATGCTGGGGTCATAAATTAAATTCAACGCTGTGGATAACTGCACCCCCCCCCCCCCCCCCCCCCGCCTTCCCTCCGCAAGGGTCTTACAAATTATCACACACATACATACAAACACACACACACACACACACACACACACACACAGGTATGCATATATTTGGGGGGGTTGCACAGCAGATCTGCAGATGAGCTAGCCAGTAAAGATGATGAAATCTCAGAGCAAGGACGAGTTAATATGTTCACACACACACACACACACCTACGAAGCACACAATGGAGCCGCAGGTTGCTTCTGTTTATCGAAACAGCGACTCTGACCAATCAGCGCACATTTTACATCCTGATCTTCTGTTTCCTTGGGCACAACGCGCGTGCACACAAACACAGAACCCATTAGTGTGTTCTCGTGCGCGCACGGATTCTCCACGCCTCATTCACCACAGTGTAACAGCAACAAGGCCTAACCTGGGAGGGGGGGCTGCTCTCTCTCTCCACTCCATATCCCAGATCTGTCTCTCTCTGCGTTGACATCAACTAAAGAAAGAAAGACAGAGAGAAAGAAAGACAGAACTAGCAAGCCAAAAAACAAAGTGCAGGCCTACGTCACACACATACGTTCACGTGCACACACATACACATCCCGTCGTGTCTGTTTTGGTTTCATTCCAAAGTTAACTCAAAAGCAAAGGCCCATCATCGCTTTGTCAAAAACTAACCCAATACCGACACACACATACACACACACACACACACACGCTGCCAACAGCACATCACACCTTGAAACCATGATAGAGACATTTAGCTTTGACGCCAGGACGCATAGCGTGCGTGTACCCGTTGACGAGAGGGTATTATCCTGAGAATGAAGCGTGCGTGTTGGGGACTGTTTGGTGCGGTACTGATGCCAACACGACGCTAGATGGCACCAGAGCGTTTTGGAGGAGCGTGTTGGGGCTGCTGGGCGACTCACCGGTGAGCACTGCCGCCGAACAGGAGCGTGGTCCTGGATGAGTGTCAGTGTGACCATCGCTCCTATTGCTTCTGCAGCTGCACAGTCTCTTCATGAATGTACATGCATGTATATGAAAAATATATATTTATTCAAATAAAAGTTTATATAAATACACTTAGAAACTTGACTTGAGCCCCGTGACTGTTGATGCACACACACACACACACTGCACTAATTCCGCTGCTGCTACAAATAATAGCCTAGAAACAAATGCTGTTAGAACCAGCCAATAGGAAGACTAGCCTGCAATTATTAATTATGAAGAATATGAACTGTCACGTAATCATTCTTTTTATTATTAACAATATCTGCTGGTACGTCAAACAGGAACAACAGTAAATAACTGAATTGCAAAGATTCAACGGTCAATAGTGATTCTCTCATCGTTGGATAAGATTATTGAGGTAGACTAGGCTTACTACGTAGATCTTCTGAAACGTTCATATTCATAAATTGATTATTTCTATTTCATAAAATAGGTATAGCTATAATTAGGCCGATACTGAAAACGTTATGTTTCTCTGTCTAACTAGCCCCCTTCTCTCTCACACACACACGGGATGGGTTTTAAATATGAGCCAATTCAATAGAGAAATGTTTGCGCTGAAGGAAGGGACTGCTTTATGAACACAGCCTAGTTCTACCATAAAGTGCATAATACAACTACTACTGATTGCTTAATCCTTTAACCACGGTTGCTAACAGGCAGATGTTAAAAGTGATTATTTTATGATCGTTATCGGGAGTTTTGCAGAGGAATCTAATGGTGATGTTCACGTCTGGTGACAGGGCTGCGGCATGCATATGCGACTAATCCGAAATAAAACCTAAGAAGAATACTGAGCCAACACAACGCTCCAGCCTGGAAACGCAGCAGGCCCCTACTGCTTTTATTGCTAGTAGGCTATTATTTTATTGGTGCTGAAGGAAGGAAGAAAATTGGCTGTATTGGTTTCAAATGTATACCAAATGTAGTAGTCCTACATTTTCCTTGGCAGCGATCTGCAGTGTGAAATTTTATACCCCAGAACGCTGCATTTCCTGCCAAATGTGTCCGTGATATTCAGTGGAAATGGTATGGAAGCTTGTCTGTTAACATGAAGACTGACGGGGGGGGGGGGGGGTAGCGGTGGCCAGCGGGTGTGTAAAACTATCCACTAGCTTGAATTTGAACATGCGCATTTTGGAGAAATGCCTGTGAGTGTGTCTTGTGACTTCTAAAAAAATACCATAAATAAAGGCAGTGAAGACCTCATCTTGTTACTGTAACCAACCAGAGAATCTCTACACAGTTCATTTAGCTGTACTGTGGTAAGTGTCAATATTGATCAATATGCCTACTAGCCTAATGACAAACAATATACAGTTATAATAATAATAATAAATTGTATTAATGTAAGACAGTAAATTGTGCCAATTTCATGTTAGCCTGTGGCTAATAACTAAACTAGCAGCCTCCATTAATTTGGAGATGGTGTGTGTGTGTGTGTGTGTGTGTGTGTGTGTGTGTGTGTGTGTGTGTGTGTGTGTAGGATGAAGGGATTCCTTCCAGCGGAGGTGTTTGATATTTGAGACAGCAACAAATTGAAGACCAAAGAGACAGACAGACCTGCAGATGTGTTTGTGAGTGTGGGTTGGTAGGGGGTTTGTTGGGCGGTGTCCTGGCCAGAAAACAAAAACAACAGCCCACCCGCCGCAGGGAGGAAATGAGAAGGGAAACAAAGTCATAAAAGTCGTCTGGACGGACCGAGACTAAAAAACATTCTTGCGTATGCACAAACACACACAGGCTGTCAGTCAACTGAGAGAACCTGGAAGCTTTTCCTTTGAGACGTGGAAGTGAAACAAAAGGAACTACAGAATCACAGATAGCGAGGGGTAGAAGGACTACAATTTACAATTACTCTAACTGCAACCTTGGAAAGCAAAGTGATATCTGGGAGGTTAAAGACATACAAGAAACAACAGGTAGGATGCACAAACTAGGGGCTCCTTTCTTTAAAAAATTTGTAATTTGACAAATCCAGCACACCTGCCCTCACATCAAAGCCAGCCTCACTCTCAGGAACATGTCCCCCCCCCCCCCCCCCGTGCGCCGTGAACGGCTTGAGGCAAAAAGACAGTGAGCTAATCTTCCGGATCTCAAGCAGCCGAGTTTTAAACGATGGATGCCTCTTCCGCAGCTAATCCCACCACTTAAGAGAGCTAATTCATCTCGATCATCATGGAGCCTAATCCAGCAAAGAAACACTTTAATCTGAGCTGGAAAAGTAACACCTCATTTATAACGTTAATGCATAAACCAGGCGCAGCAGAATCCCGCTCAGCTCTGCAGTTTGACTTGTTTTGCTGCTTTAGCAATGCAGCAGCAGCAGCAGCGCGCAGGGCTGCCAGAAGAGGAACGTGCATGAATGGCTCTTACCTTTTGTTGATAATCAGTCAGGAGCCCCACACACCTGCAGCTCACTTCGGTGTCCCGCGTGCAGGCAGCCAGGCAGCCAGGCACCCCGGAATGGCACGAGAAAGCCCTACCGTGTAGACCGGATGGATGGATGATAATTGGATAGAGGGGTGGCGGCGCGAGGAGGTGAGGATGAGGAGGAAGTGGAGGGGGTGGGGGGTGCGCTCCCCGTTGTCACCCAGTAGTCAAAACACCGCCGTCATCTTCATCACCGCCCCTGTCATCATCATCATCATCGTCATCCTCGCGATGACAAGTGACAAATGAAATGAAATGTCAAATTAAAAATAAAAATAATGAGGTTTTTTTACGGGTTCGGTCTCGCGACTCGCCCCCTCTTCGCCTCATCACGGCGGAACTGTCCCCATCTTGGTTCGCAGATTTAGCGTAGACAGCAGCACGAGACCAGGCGAGCGCGGAGCCGTAGCGGAGGAGGAAGAGCAGGAGGAGGAGGAGAAGGGGGGGAGGGGGAGGGTTCTTGTCAACGTCTCCTCGTGCGGGTTTCCACAGTCACAACTAGTATTGTCGTTAACTAGTACCTTTGATTACAGCCGGGCGGTAGCCTAATTTCCTCGCGGTTGCCGGGCTCCGTGCGGCGCCTCGCGAGCCCTGGGCAGAGCACGGGAAGAGAGGCGGCTGTTCGGGCCGGAGCGGAGTGCAGCAGCAATATAGCCACTTGGGAAATCATAAAAAGTTCATGTTCACGTTAAGCGCGTCCACATGACCAGCCCGTCGGCCAATCCCCGCGCGCGGCCACTCATAAACGTGTATCACAAAGTTGTAAATTTTCATAAAACAACAAGGAATTTATTGCATTTCTTCATGGAGCAGAGCTGCTCCTTCTCTTTCTCTCACTCTCCCCGCCGCCATTTTCCCTTACAAACTAGCCAGCAGCTCACAAAGCTCAGAAAAGCAATGGAGAACTCTGCCTTTGTTTTCTTCCTCTATTTTCCTTTCGTTTGTGTTTGTGTGCGTGTGCTAACAGGCTTCTTTATTTATTTGCTGATGTATGACTTAAGTTGGATTGGACCAGGAATTTGTCCAGGTTGGAAAAACTTTTCAAATAGCCTACATTTTATTCTACAAGGTCAGGAAGAAGAGAAAAACAATTCACATGTGACTAAAAAGACAGATGGTCAGATATCACTTTATAACAATGGTGTCACAATTTGGCAGGGCTGATGCAGAATAAACAAAGCATTGTATTCATTATATGTGAATCATATTTATTTAATATTGCAGTGTTAGTGGCACTCGATGTGGATTTGAAAACGTGCTTTTTAATGCCAACATGTATGTTCTGAATTTGAATGTTTCGTGTTGTGTTGTTCTGGCATCAAAAGATGTGGATTGGGGGGGGTGGTCAGGTATTTGGATGAAAGCAGCTCAGAGGTGAAGCCTGACTCTCTGGGTGGCTGCACCACAAGGCAAGAAAAGCGATGATCCCTGCAGTGTTGGCAAAATCTCAGTTCCATGGATGGAAACAGAAAATTCTCATTATATGATGGTGTCCTAAGACTTGTTTGTTAAATTAGGTCATTTTGGGCTACAAAGTGAAATAGCTATGGTTTTGACAGGGGTTCCTGTCCGTTTTTGTAACTAACAAGCTACAGAACTGCTGCACACTTTTTCAAGTGAACTAGAGGAAATTTGGGCCGCGTGCGATTTGAAGGCACAAGCACAGCCAGCACCTGAGTGGAAGTGCGGGCCCGAAAAGCCGTGCGTAAAAGCGGTTTCGCAATGCGGCAGCGCGTCACCATTTTAACGGCCCTCAGGCCCGGAGCCGCAGGGTGCTCAGAGAGCTGCAAAGACACTGCGGTGTATTTTTGTTGTTGTTTCTTTGTTTGTTTTTTGTACACAAATTTTGCTTTACAAGATTGCGGTTAGTGGATGCTTTTGCCTCAGAGAAGTGAAAACACACCTGAATAACCAGTGAAGTTTAAAAGGTAATGTTTGAAGTGGGATTGGTTCCCTTCGCTGGACTCAGGCGTTAACGTGTTTAATTGCTTGTACAACTTGATTTGGTTAATTAAGTTTCTGTCCTCCCACACAGGAGCCCAAAATCCAAGGCCTGCGTCAATAATACCTCACGGTCCAAATCCAGAATTTGTCCAAAGTACTGTTTTCAATATTGCGTTTTCAAAACCAGCGTATTGGACAAGTTAAAAGGTTTGGGGAACATTTAACAACCCAAACATCCGATTTCAACCATGCAGCGAATACTGCACAACATACCCGATCATCTATTTCTGGATTCCTCAGTCCGCGTTCATTACCGTCTTCTTATGTGTATTGTAAAACATCCAATTCACATGTAGGACTTCAGCCAGGATTTCTGTCTAATCTGCTGTCAACCGGACTAAATAAAGGACACTGGCAAGTCTAAACAATATACGTCTGGATGGTAGGCCTAGAAAACCGGTGTCCAGCACAGACATCATTCAGACATATAGTTCCGAATCCTGAAATCCTGATTTCAAACCTTCTGTGACCAACACGTCACCTTCCCAAAGAGCAGGGTGTCTGCTTAGCAGGAGATGCGGATCCAGCGCTTCCTCTGTGCACATGTCCCGAGTTAAAAATTAACAGAGCACAAAGCTGCAACACAGAGCAGGAGGCACAAACAGGCCGCTCGATTCCCGTTCTGTTGCTGTCTTTGTGTTTGTTGCTTTTACTGGGGTTTCCGGCCTTTTCATGGAGGCAATAAAGACATTAGGACCTGCTAACATCCCCCCACACACCGCCAGTCCACTGCTCTTTTTGCTGTCTACAGACAGTCGAGGACTTCCAGAGGCAGTGTCTCTCATGTCTATTAGAAATGTCGTTTAGATTTGGCAACACTTTGGGCGGCTTGAATCCAGAAGACCTGGATGTTTTCGTCGTAACTCAGGTAAAAGGCGGGGGAACCTGCCCGCTGTTCCGCAGTTTGTGCTGTGCGCAGGGTGTCTGCCGCTCTGGAGGGAGTAAGATTTAAAAAAAATCCAACGTGATATGGCTGCTTGTTATACACAGCAAGACATCTTCAAATATAATGAATGTGTGAATATTTTAAAAAATCCTTCAAATGGGAGACAGATTTTATATTGTTCTGAAATCACCTTTATTGAGGACAAAACAGAAGGATCAGAATTTTGGAAATGAAACATGAATATTTTGTGCTTTAAAATGGGTAGTAGTGCAAAATCTGTTCCTCTTTTTTTTTGGATTCATTAGCCTATTTTATATTTTTTCTGAATGTCGAACTGGTGATGGCGGGATAAATGTCCACCAGCTTTTTGGTGTTGGCTACAAAGTGTTATCTCGAAACGGGTGTTGTGTATTGTAATGTATTTTTCAACTTTTTGTGTAACATATTCAGACACTGGAGCCAAAACATAGCATCTTCCATGTGTATTCAGTCTTTGTTACAGCGTGTCGAGCTTGGGCAATTTCACAATGTGCTATCCAACAAAATAAAGATATTTGAAGAAGAGTTTCAGTCCGTTTCAGAAAAGATACTCAATATTAAAAAATTCAAACGTAAAAATAACTAAATAAATAAAATCAAGTCAAATTCCATGTCTCTGGCGCTTTCAAACGCATCTCATGGTCTGGGTCAACAAAGATGCAAGTGTAAATGCTGAAGCTGTGAATGCCATTTAGCCATTGGGTAACAGCCCATTAATGCTTTTAAACCTGTAAACAAGGTGAGGATATTTTAAGATCGCGCTGGCACTTAATACTGTGTTATCGTGTGTGTGTGTGTGTGTGTGTGTGTGTGTGAGTGTGTGTGAGGTACAACCAAAAGGGGTTGCTTTCTGACAGACTCTCTTAGCTCGTGGGAGAACTTCATAACTTCATCAGATTGCGAACTGAAAGTTAATCAGTGTCACAAATTGCCCACATTTGAAAATCTCTGTTGTACCTGAACATGCCATGTACATATTTTCCTGTAATAACATGCTTCACAGAAACTCTTTTTAATGGAAAACCCAAAATGTTTATATGTGGTCAGGGGCGCAGCACAATATTCCGGACCTATAGGAATTCTCTATGGACCCTCCTTCCCTGCGCACAAGCATTCTAGCATCTTTGTGTCCGCAATCTCTGTCCCCTTTGCCCCCCAAGTCCTACGTACATACATGATGTTTACATGTCTATGTAGATAATTTGTATAAAGTGATTTCCGGTTAGAGAAGATAGAAACTGTTTGTACACTAATACATATATGAAAACTTACTGACCACACAAGAATCCATGTCTTGGACCTGTCCTGAATGACTCTATGCCACATAGGAACTACATGATAATACCACAACATTTATTTGCTATTTTATTTACTCTCTCAGCTACTTATTCAAAACTGCAGCTTGACGGGATGGAAAACATGCTGTTACTCCAGACATATTATTTTGTCAGATGTTTATTGATGAAATGTAACCGTCCTGAACTGTCTTTATTATTCTTGCTGACAGTGTAATAGGGGTTGTAGAGGTTATTTTCATGTTATAAATTAGATTTATCTTCCAACAGAACCACAGAAACGTGAAAAATGTTAGCAGCTGTAAAATATTTCCAGATGAAAGAGAGACTGAAAGATATCACAGCAAACTCACTGCAGTCCACTATATTTATTTATTATTTACATACAAGAAAAGAAAAGTGCGTTTTAATCTGAACATGTATAGCTCACACAATATGAAAGCACTGGTGCAAATACAGAAAAAAAGCCTATAATTAATTTTAAAAGCTTATAATACAGGAAATAGCTTAAAGAGGCATGCAGAATGAAACTCTGACTTTCTTATATCCCTTTTAATTTTGTGTTCTTAAGTGTATGATTTCATGAAATGTCTCCTCACAGTTGTTTAGGGCTACTTAAATCATGCTGATATTAATTATTTCATTTAACAGAGTTTAACTCTGTACTTACTGTATATACCTTGTGTGTTAGCAGCCTTATAACTGAAATATAATCAGGTATAGCAACACAGTCAGCAGCCCCCCCCAGTCTTTCTTTAAACACAAGTGCAAACTGGTGACAGTTAGGTTGTAGCTAATATTGATGACAACAAGGTCCTGAGCGACAACAATTCTGTTGACTTTTTTTCTAGTGGATTACGAAAAGTAAAGAAAACGCAAAGTTCTCCACTAGAAATACATGCCTGTACAAATGCTCTAAAAATCTGGACCACAAGGGAGATTTCAGTTAAAGGAAAAAAACGTGACATTTTGTGATTTGTTTAACTCACCTTTTCAGAAAATTGGGCAGAATTTGGTTCGTTGCCAGGCAAAAAGAAAATTCTGAAATGGGTGGGGATCTGCAGGGGGAATCAGGTCTCCTGACCTCAGTATTTCTAAAATCCTGGTAAACAGCAGTTTAAGTCTAATATTTTAATAGCATAACACATAGCTAATTTATTTCACTTGTGTCACTAGCCTTTCTGTGTAGGAATTATAACAATAAGCTTTGTATCCACATAAATCATAACTGCTGCGGTTTCACTGACTTAACTATTTTGTCCCTTTCTGCAGGAGATCACCTCCCGTGGAGTGGACCAGAAATTGGTCCTTTAAGAAGAACCCCGCATGAATATGATTTAATTTTTTATTGCTAAAGATGTTTCTTTAAAGTAGGACCCTGAATTTGTCTCCCTACTGTCACTTCTCCACATGTTTAAGAGACCAAGAGGAGCTAAAAACATCCTGATCATGACTAAAATATGATGTTTACATGGTGGTTAGTAGTTAGTAGTTTAACCTCCTTGTATTATTTGCAGACTAGGCTGCCTTTTTGTAATCTGAAATACATGAATTTAACTGTAAACTGATGTAAGTTACATGTGTTTTGCTCATAAAAAAACAAATTTTAATTTAAATTGCATTTTGCTCCTACTGGCAGTTGTTTGCTGTAGGCAATAACCTGACTGCAGGGCAAAGGTCACTTTTTATTTCAGGTACCCCTACAGCACTAATGAAAATGTAGTTCAAGAAATAAAACCTGAAAACCAACTGTGTGTAATCTGTCATGTGTTAGCCCTTGTCCTCGTCTTCTTCTTCAGCAGTCGGTAAAGCTGCTGTAGGGGGGCCGCTCCCGGCCACCCTGTTCTCCTTCTTCCACTTCATCCTACGGTTCTGGAACCAGATCTTGATCTGTCGCTCCGTGAGGCAGAGTGTGTGCGCGATCTCGATCCGTCGCCGCCGCGTGAGGTACCGGTTGAAGTGGAACTCCTTCTCCAGCTCGAGGGTCTGGTGGCGCGTGTACGTCTGTCGCCCCCGCCTTCTGTCGGCACCTACACGCACAAGAACACGCACATCCTTTCAACAATCTCCCAGCTCAAAGAAAGTCATCTGTTAGGGATTGATCATGAGTATTATTCCCACAAAATCTTCAGGTTAAAGTTAGCTGAAATATTTTGGTGCAAGATTTTTTTTTTCTCCCTTGCATCCAATAGGTTAGTATGGAAGTCCATTTCGATCGAGAAAATATAAGACCATGTGAGATATGTCAAACTTATGCTGGTAAGCTTTCAGTTTAGGTCAATATTTTTACTAAGTAATTTCACATTTTTACATTATGTCATCATTTTGACTTAGCTAGCTTTTGGCTTTGTAGGGGGTTAAGGTTATGGTCAATATTGTGCTACAAGATACTTTTTTCCCTTTGTTATATCCAAGTGGAAAAACGTGTAGGCCTACTTAAAATACTTATTCTTAGTAAAACATCTGATTTGATAAGCTAAAAGTATGACTCATTAGGTAAAAATGATGAGATAAAGGCTTCCCCACACATCTCCCAGCCATGTGCAGCTAAGGTGCATAAGATAAGAAGAAAAGATGTATTTATCTTCATTTTAAAGACAAATCCAACAGTCCGTTTTCAAAAGTCTCTACACTGTCTCAATAAATAACTACTTTAAAAAATACATTTATTGCCTAAATGAACAAATAAATAAATAAATACTTATAACCTCTTAATCATCTTTTTGAATCTTGGTCTTGTTAACTATATCCAAAGCCACTTGTTGCCACCTCCACATCCTGGCAAACACATTTGACTTGTGGCTTTGTAAACACCATAAAACAGTTACTAAATAATGTGGGTTCAGCTGCTGTCTCTCTGGGCCTGTGTTCAATATTTACTTCACCTTGTGTTTAGCATTAAAGGAGGTAGGCCCTGCATGTGGATTTGAGTCAACTAAATAATTAAAGGGGGAATTTAAGGCAGAAAAGGCTGCGAAATCTGACTGATAGGGGTTGCTGATGTGCTGTGGCGGGTCTTCCATAGCAGCTCCCCTGAATAAAGTTAGCAGATATTCAGAATCAGCTTCATTTGCCAGGTGTGTGAACACATACGAGGAATTTGACTCAGGATTGCACATTGCATATATTTACCCATAATCTAGGTAGGACTATGGTGAGAGTCAGGCTCCTGGTGTAAGACATGTTGGAGCACTTTTAATTTGATTACAAAAGAAAAAGAAAAAGTGACATGTGCTGAGTAAAGACCACAGAAATCCTGTTGACCTTCTGTCTTTGCGAGGTCACACAGTGCCTGAAGGTTAAAGAGAAACTGGGGCATATTTTCACAGGGGTCGTCTGCAGGCCACACAGACCACTAAACTCTTTTCCTCTGCAGATTCCCATGAAAAGAATTTTCATAAATATTTTTTTTCCACTTAGAAATTGAAACTCAACAAAACTGACCAAATACACTTTTAATGTCTAAGGTTTGTAGTGATATTTCTGCTGGTCTAGTATCTTGAAATAGGCCCTGACTTACTCTGCAGATCGTCTGAGCAGCAATAAAAAGCATTGACCAGCCTGTAAAGAATTACATCTTTAGTCATTGCAGGGCACCGCAGCTGAGCTCTGTTTAGAAGACAGACACATGCTAATCAGAAATGTAGTCCACCACATTTTCACAGTGTCTGACATAAATCTTTGGGACATAAATCCTCAGCCTCCAACTGGCTGTTTTCTGGGTGTGAGCTGAAGAAAAGAACATGTATTTACTTTAAATTGATTTCCAGGTCTTCTCTGGCAAAGACTACACATTTTCCATACTGTCCAGGTCATGCATAGACATGCTGACCCGGCCATGTTGACACTGCTGATAATTAACTTTAGGTAAATACATACATTATGAAATTGGGAAGGGGGGGTGACTTATCTCATGACCTCAGTATTTCTGTAATTCTGCCGATGGTGCTGTGTGTAGTATACTTAACTGCTGACAATGAATCCTTACTGTTCAGTGTATTTCTGTGTGGCGGTGCATTCAGGCTGTCCTCTGGATGAATTCAGTGTGTCACAGATTTGACCCAATATAAACTTCAAACAATATCAGATGATGCTTATGAAGCTTTTCATTTGAACTGACTGTGTTTTTTTTACTTCTTCTTGCATTACACACACTCTCATTTTAGCAAAAGATGAAAGTCTTTATTTATTTATTTAGTTAGTTACTTCTTTATCAAGAGATTTCCACTGACCCCTTAGCTGTTTTTACCTCCATTGGGTGACACTTTCCATGTCATATGAATATTCTTTTTTGTGTGATGTCTTTCTCATTCTTGTGAGGGTCTATGTAAGGATTTCATTGTATTGTTTGAAATGAAGAGCTTGCTTTCTTTTATTTTGTCCTGGTCACATTGCTTTGAGTGGAGCAAGAGAGAGTAAAACAACACAAAATTAAAATTACATTCACAAAAAAAAAATACATACTTACGAAACATACGGTATAGGCTACATTTGTTTATGAATTCTCGTTTTACTATATTTGGTCAAAGCAGTCAAACATTTGCGAAGGACCCAATCTAGTTCATATCAAAATGTTAAATATTGAAACATCTTCACAAAGCCTTACCCACCGCCCGCCCTGGGCAGAAATACTTTTCAAGCTTAAACGAAATGTATTTCACCACAATCATGTTGTCCTCCACGCGTGATTCTTCTTACAACTTGCGTGTCCGTCTGCGTGTATTTGTGCGCGCCAGCCACAGTTTATTGAAGGCAGCGGTCAGCATGTGTGAGTGACTGAGTGTCAGCAGCGTGGAAGTGTGTGTGATGTAGTACGTCTATGCAAGTATATGTGTGTGTGTGTGTGTTTATCTGTGTGTCCCTACCTTATTACTGCATGGCGAGGCGATCATTTGTGCTATGTGTGACTGAGCGAGAGAGAGAATTCATCTCCACTGGTAATATGTTTTCCTCTCGCGCTGTCTGCGGTGATTTGTTCGCGCTCGAGCGCAAGTTGGAATTCTCGCAATCAACAACGAGAAGGGGCTGTATTGTGCTCGCTCTCACACACACACACACACACACACACACACACACACTAAAACACACACACACACACACACACACACACTCACAGCAAATACATATAATACTAAAATACATTTATAAAACAAGTAGCCTAGTGAGTTAGTGTGTTTATGGGTGCTCATGCGCGTCCCTGTGAGAGCTCGAGCGCCTCCTTTAATAAGCACTCATGTGTTACTTATTTGTTGTGTTAACGGGAACATCCGGGACGTTTCCTTCCAATCCAATCGAATTTAAATTAAAATCTATAAATTCATTGTGCAGTCTGGCTGGCCCGACGCCACCAAACCTTCTCCCTCCGCAACCACATCCACCCTCGTTCCAAATGTTTCACCCTCCTTCTATAGGCTACTGTGTATGTGTGTTTCGTTCACATATTTTCTATTTTGCCGGAATACACATCATTTATTTTGTGTGATGACATAATCGTGTGAAAGTATAGGCTATAACATGGATGTAACCCCAAACGTTATTTTGTTTCTCATATCAGGTCATGAAATGTATAGCCTATTTTGTTCCATTGCTGTGTATAATATTTTAGAATATGATATAATATCTTCTGCCTTATCCGCTCTGGTTTTCAGACCAAACGGACTGGTTTGACTTTATAAGCCTAAAACCAAAGCAAATAAAATACTTTTGATTTCATGATGCACTTTCCACCCTCTTCATCACACAGCTCTCCAAATGAAAAAAAACAACCGATAGAACCGATAGACGCTTTCTATCACACACGCAAACACACACATGCACGGCAGTGGTATGGTGACGGAAATTAACGAGGAGGCCTGCAGCGACGACGAAAAGCTGTCCAGTAGCCGCCAAGAGCTCCTGCTAATGAGGAGGGACCTGATTTGTCCAAAAACAATTTTAGAGTGAGCCCGACTGAGCTCTGCAATCTGCGTGTGTGTAAGTGTGTGTGTGAGGTAGTTTTAAAAATACAAGTGTTCAAATGCGGGTCCTGTGTGATTCGAAGTTGCTGATTTTGAGAGCAGCTCTACTTTTACGCACGTTTGACGCACAAACACTCGCACCCTACTTCTCGGTATTTACGCGCAACGACTCAGTATATTAAGGCAAACGTAAAAATGTTCTTTGTGCTGTTTGTGTTTGTTGTGGTTCGAGGCTCCGAGGCCCTGCATCCATTCAGGATCCAGCCCGCTGCTGTCGCACAAAGCCGCTTTTACAGTCGGGGGAAAGAGCAGGCATTCAGAGATCAAACCCATCTGCTAATTTATAGTGTTTATAGCGGGTTGGGTTGACAGTGCAATAGCACAATGGGCTTTCATTGGATCACCTAGGACTGACAAGGAAACACAAAACTACCAGGGCGGAGAGGCTGAGCTGAGCTGAGCCACACACTGAATATGAGCGATAGCCGTGAGCACTTTAACCGGTGGTTGTCCCCTCTTAAACACAATACCACCTAATGAATATTCACCAAGTCTTAAATTATGGTTTTATGGAGGTCGCAGTCCAATAAAAGATCTGCAAAGATAGAGAAGTTGTAAAAAAAAAAAAAAAAAAAAGAGGCAGAGAGAAAGAGGCAGACAGGCATAGTTCAGCTACTGGCAGCGCAACCAGGCCAACAGTTTAAAGAGCGTTTAACGTAATCATTGAGTCGAACTAATAACACCCCCCCCCCCCCCCCCCCCCCCACCCCATCACCCCAACACTCACAGCACCCATCACGTCCCCTATTTTCCCAGGGCCTCGCCAATAATCCTCCCAGCACCCACCTCCTCTCTCCTCACCTGAGCTTCTCATCCAGGGGTAAATCCGAAGCCCCTGCTCGTTTAAGTGCCGCTGCTGCTGCCCCGGGTTACTCTGTCTGCTGCAGTCCGGCTCAGGGAACCTGGCGGCCAAAGAGCAGAACTGAGGCCGACCGGGGAGCTGCTCCGCGGCGCACCCCTGTAGAGAGGAGCACATGGGCCCGGCTCCCGTCGCGCAATAAGCCCCTCCTGTGAGCACTTCAGAGGGATTGAAAGGATGGGCACCGGGCTGAGTACTCCCACTGCTCCGGTTCAATCCCGAAAGTGACATACAGAACGATGATGAAGAAGCGGAGGAGGGAGGGAAAGGGGGCCCTCCGCTGCCTCTCCCACTGGAGACATGGAGGTGATATTTGCTGGATTCGAGGGCGCACGAAGAAGACACGCCAGGAGCAGCAGAGGAAGGCGGAAAGGGAGAAGTTGGAGAGTCTGTGAGGAGCAGAGCCGAGCAGCTCGTAGCGGCTTGTTGGTATTTGGAAAACAGCGCGTTGGCGAGCGAACTCATAATTTGGCGCCAGTGATTTGTAGGCCCGGGGCGCTTTAATGTCGACTTTTTACGAGGTACCGTGAATTATTGGCGGGGTATTACTGTCGAGATTTACACCAAAAAAAAGAGAAAGAAAATCACCCCACCCCACTCATCTCCTCCCCTCCCGCACATAGCCTCGTGGACCACGTGACCTCGAGTCCATGTGATGTCAAGATGCCCAATGGCCGACGGGGTTTCCCTCAGGATGCAATATTATATTGGAAGAAATTAGCTGCAACACACGCGCACACACACACACACACACACACACAACAAACAATATAATCTATAAAACAGAATCAATACGCAGCAGTTCAGAACGTGTCCACTAATCACCGAGTGCATGTAGAGCTGGAAAACGAAACGGCTGAGGCTGACAAACATCGCTTTCAAACTTCAATCTTTACTGTCCCGCTTGCTGGGTTGGGGGCGGGTTGAGCCGTGTGCAAAAAGTGGAAAACACTATTAGATGGGATATTGATTAGGCTTTGAATGGAGTGGCTTCAGGCACGTGCGTAAAGTTGCCGAGAAGACTAAAAGAGGAGATGGATTTCCCCTGTTATCCACCAACGTCGTCTTATCCCAACTCCTACTTTTCAGAGACCACACATGCAGAAGAGAGGGTCCCACGCAGCAGAACAAAACGGGCTGTTGTTTGCTCCCAGCTAACAGTGTACCGCTGCTGACTGGTCACTGCAGACGGACATGAAGACCATGTAAACAACATTACAGAAGGACGTTTATGGAAGCAGTCAAACATGTCACTTTGAAAATCATTCTGCAGTAACGCCCACATTTGAACTAATAGAGCTATAGGCTGGACAAACAAAACTAGAAACCTGAGTTTGTGCTGGAAGCAAGTGAGCGTTGATGGATGTTTCCGAGAAGAAACACGTTACCGAATCCATTATAAATTCCAACAAGAAAAGGAGGAGAAGAAGAACAAGAAGAACCACATAACTAACTGATGGTAGGCTACAGGCTACGTGTCTTCACTCTCCAGGCCATTCAGCATAAATCACATCCGCCTTTGAGTTAAGGTCTGATTAGTTCTGGTCCCTGGCACTGGATCCAGAGGAAACTCACCTGGCATGCAGGTGCTCTGCTTCGTGCTTAGTTTCGTATCCACGACTTTGACCTTTCCTAGCCATGCCGAACTGAGATAATATCTCCGGGCTGAGTGTAATGTTTAACAGGCCATAGAGGAGTTGTGCGTGCATATGTTATCAATGTTTGGGCTTCCAGATTCCAGGTTTTTGGAACTTAGGTCCAAGCATATTGCGCTTTACTACTTTGATTTGGATCTTTCTTTATCTAAATCTTTATTTGGTGATTCCACCAACTTTACGACAATCAAAGATACCCATTAATGCTCCTCTTGTTGTCTTCCTTTGTTAAAGCATAAAGCCAGAAACAGCATTGTAAAAATGCACATTATTGTGCACTCTTATTTTGAAAATTGGATTCCTGAAACAGAAAGGCGCATTTTATTCACTCAGTGCCTGATTTTTGTCACTTAGTGGAGACAGTTGGGGTTGTGTCTGCAGCCTCTGTCTCAATAATGAAACTCAAACCAAAACTACACACTCCCTCGGCTGCGTTTGTCTTCCTATCGCACATGAAAAAACGTGAACCCCAAAAGCTGTTTCCATATTAATATAAAATGTACAAATATCTGATATACAGATGGGTGACAAATGACAGGAAGAAAGCAACACGACGAGACTCAGTATGGAGTCAGGCCACCACCAGCCTCCAGAAAAGCTTCAGTGCTCTATGCCGAGTCTGTGGAAGGATACACACCATCCCTCCACATGACATCCCCATTGCTGTGCAAGAGAGGCCTGGGTACAGCAGAGAGAGACAGATTTGCATGACTAAAAAGATTTGAAGATAAAAGTTTATATTATATAATTTGTTGGTGGAGAGCATTGTCTGACGTGTTGGAGCAAAGCCATAGGTGTGAAACTGGGTTGAGATCAGCTGACATTTCATTCACATCATTTTCATCTTCACCAAACCAGTCCGTGAGCCTCGGTGCACAGAGGAATCTGCATTTCAAATGTTTATCCACTCTTTTTCATTCGTCCCCCGTCTGTATAATGCATGTGTAAATAGGCTATGAATGCTCAGTGAGTTTGGCCTTCCCATATGGAAACAATCCGACCTCAAGTCGTCACCGTGATGATGATGAAAGACAGTGTAATAATATAAGTGGAGATAGAGGACCGCGGGCCATAAATAAAGTGATGTTTGGATGGGATGTGGATTGTGTGTGTGTGTGTGTGTGTGGGGGGGGGGGGGGGGTATGTTGTTTTAAGAGGAGATTTCCGAGTCGAGGCTTAAATGTTTGGCCTCGTGAACTGAACGGTTTTATCAGTCTGGGTGCTGACAGAGTGTACAGAGAGGAGAGACACAAGGAGGAAGGGAATGATAGAAGTGAAATGAGAGGAGGTGAAAGAAAAAGAAGGGGGGGGGGGCAAAGGATGGGGGGAAAGTGTGGATAAAAAGGAGGAGAAAGGAAAGAGGCCACATCCAACATTTCTTCCTTCCTTTCTTTTAAGGAGAGTTGACAGCTAACAGGCGAGCCTGCTTCTTATTTCTTCTAAACTGATACAAAATTAAACAGTACAACAATAAAAATCCATCCTCACAGCCAAAAGAACTGTGCCTCACATTAAATGCAGAACGCAACATTTTTTTATGACGTTTTTATTTTTATGAATGTTCTCTTTTTTTTAATCTGCACTGTGCGCATGCTTTTTACCCAAAAAGAGAAAAAGAAGACAACATAAAACAAACACCATCGATCAAAAAACGAACTAAAACGAGAAACGACAATTAGAGTGTGTAAAAAAGAGACCCGACCTACTAAAACGGCATAAATAGGCAGTTTCATGTTGTTGGAAATTTCATTAATTGCTACGTCATCATCATCGTCATCATCACCATCATCAATCATTGCCATAACAACAACAACAACAACATAGAAGTGAGAAGTACAGTAAAAAGTGCACCATCATCATTTTTTAACTTAAAAACTATACAGCTGCCAAAGATAAAATTGTTAATGATAAACTTCTAACAATATAGAAATGTTTCCACAATAATTGTTCCACAAAGAAAGGAAGCTATCATTTTTCTTTCTTATTTTTTTTTGTTTGTTTGTTTAAACACTAGAGTAGACTATGTTTGTTTGAGTTGGATTGATCCACCCCGCCCCATCAATTTTATTTTTTAAAAGTTCATTCTTGCTTCATTGCGGGTTTTTTTTTCTTCCAGCGGTTTCTACAGTCATCAGACAGAGGCGCGAGCCCCCTTCAGTCCGTCCAGCTTGCCGGTAGCCATTTTGGAGACTCAAGTTCCTTTCCATCTATTGAACCATGGAGACAGTGGGGCATTCCATTGGCCTCAATTAAGACAAAAACAGCCCCGCGCCCCCCCTCACCCACCCTCAACCCATCCTGTCCAACATTTACAGCCTCCTCCTCCCCCATCTCTCTCCCCTTTCCTCTATCTCCCCCCAAATTTCACCGCTATCCTCCCTACATTTGCTTGTGGGTTTTCTCGCAGCAATCCTCACTCACGGCCTGAGACCCCGCTGTGCCCGCCACCGCCACCGAGCCTCCTCCTCCTCCACCACCTCCACCTTCTCCACCTCCCCCACTTCCTCCGCCATCCCGCAGCTCCTTCTCCCTCCTCTCCCTCTCCACCGCCTCCTGCTCGCTCTTGCTGCTGGGGAACTTGTCCTTGTTGTTCTCCTTCTTCCACTTCATCCTCCGGTTCTGGAACCAGATCTTCACCTGTCGCTCCGTCAGCGCCAGCGCGTGCGACACCTCGATGCGGCGTTTACGGGTCAGGTAGGGGTTGAACAGGAACTCCTTCTCCAGTTCCAGGGTCTGGTAGCGGCTGTAGGTCTGCCGGCCCCGCCTCCTACCAGCAGCTACTGGGGGTGAGGTGGGGAGGGTGAGGAGAGGGAGACACGGGAGAGAGGACATTATTAGAACACTAGGCTACATAACGGGTTAACGTGGTCATAAGCATGTCACCTCCCTTCACAGTGACCCCTTAGCCTATATAAAAAACAAGCACACATAGGCCTAACTGGATGTTATGACAAGTGATGGCACAATTTTTCAAAGTCAGAAACTCTGAAAATGTCAAACGTGTTGTTAGGTTTTTTTACTATGTGCGTGGCGGTAGAGGTGGGGTTGGATTTAGAGTTGACTCCTGTTCATGTGATTGATGTTAGGAGGAAATACTTTTGGCCAAACTCCTTGGTTCTTTGTTTGAGTTAACATGGTCAACATTTGCCTGTGAATTTGCCGTAACACTGTGATCCCAAATAGTCTAGCCTACATAGATAGTCCACTGTAGATACATACTGCAGCCTGAGGTGTGAGAGAAAATGTCCCTAATGTTAGAATAGTTACAACACGTGACAGAGAAGTCCACATTTTAAAATCACGTGATCTTCATGTGACTTAAATGTTCAGGGCTCTCTCTTTCACACACACACACACACACTATCCTTACTACTACTCTTTGAAACATGAGTCCAAGAACAGAAACATAAACTCTTTCAATCCATCAAGAACTCGACCACACCTCACCATCAGCCAGCGGCAGTCATTATTAAAACAGACTCTTCTATAACGCAGACGGATCTACTGAGCACTTACAGAAGTGCACATGAATATTTGATGCTATAAATACATCATATCTGAAAAGGGAAAAGGGATCCCACAGCACAGCAACGACGAGTAGGCCTACAGAGATTAAAGAGCTGCCTCTAATGACGAACAAATACTTTTAATTAGAAAGGTTTCAAATAATGACAAGGGAAGATGAAGATATTGTGTCCCACATGCAACCGTTCTCTCTGCTGAAAACTGTGTTTCTGTTTTTACAGACCCGGTTCACAGACACAACATAATACTGTGTTTTCTGCACACACATGCGTGGGAGGAAAAAGGTGCATTATGTTTTTTCCTCAATGAATAGTCTGTGGAATAGAATAATTTACCTGCATTGGATGAACCAAGCGAGGACAGGCAGACGCCCCCCTTAAAAGCTTTTTTTTAGCACGCTTATCCAATCAAACTGGGTGATATTATAACATAAAATGCTTAATAGCCCCGTTTTTCAGCACGGGTGCCAGTAAATCTAAGCACATTATGAAAATCAGTCACTATTTTATATTATAAGCTAGACGTTATTTCAGTTCAGTATTTATACTCTTTATAAAGAGGACCAATACAACTGACACGTTTAACCGTGAAAGCCTTTCAGCAAACTCCCGACAGTTTGCTGGTTTACATACAGGGCATTTGTGTAAGTGGTTGTACTGCATATCAATACAATTGTTTCTCTTCTGCTTTGATTATTATGAGCTCTGTGCCGCGGACAACATATAAGAGTGGTCATAAAGCTTTGAAGTAAAAACGCTTCTAAATCACTGATCTGAAGGGAAATCTAGATAGTAAGCGAGTTTTGCATTATCCTAAAAAGAACAGTGCACGCCGCATACCACGGATGATTAGCAGAATTCAAATATTTCTTGTGTTTTTTTTTAATTCTCAGGTGTCATTTCCTTATTTCACACACACACACACGGAAGATGTCCTGCTACAATCACATAGAAGTCTAAGAAAGCCAGCTGGATGGTTTCTACTTTTAAGAAAGTTCTGTGATTCTCATGTCTTGGATGTTCACAGTGTCCGTTTATGGGCACACAGCTGCATTTTATTGTAAAGCAGCCCGAAGAAGACAAGAGAGTCTTCATGGAAATGCATGAACTTAAGTAAGTGATGTCAATGTCTTGTATGTGTTATCTGTCACAGGGCTGGCGCCGTGATTTCGTGCTGTAGGGACTGAAGGGATGGGCGCCACATTCACTGCTGTCACCAGCCATGAATTAAGGGAAATGGGAAACACTTTCCTGGTTAAAATGACACTATGGGCGCTTTGATCCGAAGGGGTTTTGACGGCGCAACATGCACGGGGGATTTAACCTGCAACCCTGGCTGCGTCAGTACACTGCACAAAGTGTGTGAGGATACACCCCACCTTTCATACCTCTCACAGCTGAGATGACTCAGACAGCTTTTGGAGGAATACATCGTAATTTAGGCCTTTTTTTTTGGCATTTGGCATTTTCCTGTTTCAGCATGAAAGATCATATGCTCTTTTAGGTCTGAGAAAATGATACAAGCCTTGGGATTATGAGATATTTTGAAGACCTATTACATTCGAAACCTTTACAATGCAATTAAAGAAGATCTAAACAAATGCCTGGCAGTTGGCAGTTGACATTTTGGAGGAAGGAGAAACGAGGTTTCCACTTGACAACATATGCCAATGAGAGCCGAGGCTAAATACACCAATAAGCATATCTTTAAAATATATACATTAATTCTTCGGGCAAATCAGATTGTATTCTCTTTTTTTCATTTTAAAAGTCGTACAGAGAAAGTGATTTACCCAGATTTCTAACCACAGCAGTGGAAGTCGTAAAACGGCTCATATTCACAATCAAACTCGGATATTAAAGCTCCAGCTCGGGGGCTCATGAGTATTTCAAGACATATTCAGTGCATGAGCCTCCTTCTGTGCTGGGGTTAGAACATAAAGGGTGTGGAGGAGGCGATACCCCTCTTATAAGACAAATTATGAAATGCACCCACTCGTTAAAGGGGAATTTCCGAGGTAAACGGGAAGCATAACCGCCCCCGCCGCTGCGCCTCGTCCTCCCGCTTCACCCACAAAAGACCCGTCCGCCTTTTCCGCTATTATAACTAATAAATCCTCACGCGGAGCAACGATTATACCCCCATCAAACCGTGCGCGGGCTCTAACTGCTTGCATACAACGCATTCTCGGCGCAGACCTGCGCGGCTTGACACGCCTGGTTTCCTATTTTGACTCGATTTTTCGGCCCCCGAATGATCGGAGCAGCATGCAGCCGAGCCGGCGCGCAGTTAAGCCCAAGTATACTGTTTGAAAACAATTAATCATGGTACTAAACACTGCCATCGTTGGTAAAGAAGGGATAAACCCCTTAAGAAGTCGTGTTCAGCCCCGCGCATAAGTGTGGCCGGACGTGTTTAAAGCTGGGAATGATTTGAAAAGCCGTGGCACACACAGGGGAGCAGAGTGAGACAAGTGTTAGTATATAATATAACTTTAACGATGTAAATTATGACAATTTACAGGCCACACAAACAGGAAACCGTCAATACAGATACACAAGGAGAAACACGCACACTGCTGGAAGGCACTGGAGAAGAAACACTGCAGGGAAAGCGTTCATAGTCTTATAAAAGCGTGCGTAAATGTGAATTACCTACTATTATCTGTAGCAGGTGGTTGAAATGTAGGTCTTATAATTATGGAGGTAAAGCAGTTCGAGGTGAAAACACATCTGGGATTTTTTATTTATTATTTTCTATTTTATGATCATAATCATGAAGCCACAAAAGTCCTGTACAGGCTATAACCCGTCTGCAGTCACACAACCGAGAACACAAGCAATAAACTCTCTCTCACACACGCGCGCGCGCACACACACACACGCACGCACACACACAGCACAAGAAATATGGGCTCAAACAAAATAGGCTACTATACATGTCAATCCATTCACAGCTCTCTCTCCCTCTCTCTCTGTGCCTCTAAGTCTATGTCTCTCTAATACAAAAATGCCTCCTTGCATAATCAGTCTTATTGTGGTGTTGGTGTAAGCCATCAGTTAGAAGCTCGACTTCCCTGTCATGCAAATCATTTTCAAAAATCACATTCTTTTAAGATTTATAATCTGATCGCACTGAACCAACCGGGCCTGATCCATATAAACAGGCTGTGAGTGCACAAACACACAAAGACCACTAAGTGTTCACACATGTATAGGCTACACACAAGACTCAAAAGCAACCCCGCTTAAATTTGAACCCCCGAGGGATACTTTGGGATGATTTTGATATTTGAGTCAGCGGATCGGACAGGCCTGGGAGTTTTTAGAGATCCCAGAAGTTGTGCAGGTGCTAAATATGGGTAAAAAGACCCCCTCACCCCTATCTTCTATACCCACACACACACATGCAATCCCCCTGCTTTAACCCTATGGTGAATTTGCCACAAAGAAAGAATACACGGAGACCACAGGCAAGGCAGTAAAAGAAAGCAGTGTAAGTTTAACCCGGGTCAGAGCTGTGTGTTTAAAATGGGTCTGTGTGGTTTGAAACAACAGCTCAGAGCTGGGCATCTTCAGTTTTTGGAGAGGCTTTCTCATGAAGAGGTTCAGCCCCCCCCCCCCCCCCCCCCCCACCCCCCACCACCACCAACACCAACACCACCACCACCACATATTTTTGACCGCTTTCCTCTCTCTCTCTCTCTGAGCTTCTATCCAGGCTATTCACATCCATTCTCTCAGTATATGGCCCGGGCAATTAAACCCTAAAGTCATTCACAAGTTTTGGGGCTGCCAATAAAACCATAAACGTGCTTTTGTTTCCCGCTTTGAAGGCAGGAATAAGCTTCAATTGCCCTGCTGCTTTTAAAACCACTTTCCCAACTTTCTTCCACTGTTTCCTCCTCCCGTGTTTCTGCACTGCCCGTCTTCCTCTCCTGGAGGAGCTGCAGCTCTGCTACTAACATGGACGCTCGCCTCTTTGGCAGAGAAGATTCTGCACCGTATGCTTCGAAAAGGGCAAAACAAAACGAAAACCAGCACTGTGTCCGTTTCCTCACCTTGCGGCCTCATCCAGGGGAACAGCTGCGTCGGTGAAGGGCTCTGCTCGGTTCCCTCCGCGTCCTCGCCGCTGAGCCCCGGCGCGCCTCCCAGTTTACAATCGCTGTACTGGACCAGGTCCGCGTCCTGGGCCCCGAAAAGCGTCTGTCGCTGCAGGGCGTCGTATCCGTAGAAGTTGCCCGGCTCGCCGTGGCATGTGACCGCGCAGGGGCTCTGCTGGTACGGGTTGCTGGGCAGCGTGGAAGCGCTGTGGTGGTAGAAGTCCTGGATCTGCGGAGCGTGCTGGAAGGTGGCGCCGGAGCCCCGGGCCGTACACCACGGTGGGCCGGCTGCCTGCCAGGTCCTGCGTAAAACCGCACTCGTAGTAGTTCGGACGTAACGAATCCCCGCTTTTATATTTGGAGAAGAGCGAGTTGACGAAATATGAACTCATCTTTTGTGTTGTTGTTTATTGTTGTTTCAGTTTCTGCTCGGCAGAGTCAGAGTGGGGCTGAAGGAAGCGACCCGCGGCTTTCAAACGTGTTTTCTTTTTTTCTGCTTCTGTAGTGCGGTTTGAGGCAGAGAAACACCGACACACCGAGAGAGACAGAGGGGGGGAGAGAGAGAGAGTGAGGCAGGTCTGCCGCCGGTGTCGGTGACCGTTGTTGTGGTGTTTCCCCTCGCGGCCACAACAGACGAGCGGTCTGAGGAGTAACGGTAACGGCAGCCGGCCAGAGTAGTAACAGCCACAACCACCACAACAACAATAACAGCAATCACACCGATTCCACAAAATCTCCAGCGAAGAAGAAGAAATAGAAGAGGAAAGAGAAGAACAGGGAGAAGTAGAGGAGGAGGAAGGGCTCGTGCGCATCACAATTCCGGTGTTAGGCTGTATGCGGGAGCCCTGTCGCGCTCTCAAACGGGTTTTCCGTGATTTACTCCTCTGCAAATGAGTTGTTTCATATTTTTCTCCCTCCCTCTCTCTCTCTCTCTCCCTCTGGCTCTCTCTCGCGCGCGCTCTCTCTCTCTCTCTCTCCTCCCGGCCCCGCTATGTGTGTGTGTGTGTTTGTCGGTTTCAGGGATAATTTGCATCTATTATCAGCTCTTCATCCCATTGGCTTTACCACGCACACAGACAAACGCGCACGAGCCCCTACACACACGCACATATAAGGGTATACACTACCCACTTTTTTTCTTTCGCTTGTGCCCGCACGCGCTTGTAAGCCTATGTGTCTCCCGGCGTCGGCTCGAGGAGCTCCGCGCGCATGTGATAATGCCAGGAGAGTGAGAGAGTGAAGAAAGAGAGGAGGAGGTGGAGGAAAAGATGAGGGGGGGGGGGGGGGGGGGGGGGGACTAGAATAGGTGCAGCATCTAGCAAGAAGGAGAAGGAGGTGTGTGTGTGTGTGGTGGGGGGGGGGGGGGGGGGGGGGGGGGGGGGGGGGGGGGTAATGAGAATTCTGCCTGCAATTCTTTGCAATTGATCAAATGCGCACACAAGCACACACCAACCACTCTTCAAACCAACCAACCAGAAGAAGAGATTGATTTTTTTCTAACTTGAAAACTGAGATTGAGGTTGAGTGGTGGTGGTGTGGGGTGAGGGGGTAGGGGCACAGCGTGGCTGCATGGGAGCGATGTGAATGAGGCCTGAAAATGTCAGGGAGCCTGGGCGAGAGAGGTTAACACAGACTGAAGAGAGAGAGAGGGAGTGGAGGGGTAGCGCTTCTTAATTGGTATTGGTTTTAACAAGTACTAGCCCATAAATGTAATTGGGGTTTTAAAGACAGTTGTCGGGAGCCTTTCTTGTCTTCCATTCGAGTCTGACTGCTGCTGCTGATCAGAAAATAGAGGAGCTCCGGGGCCCTGCGCGCATGCTTTCTGATCATCGTATACTTTTATAAATATGATCTCCATAAACATGTGAGGAGGACTGAGGAGGGTAATAGGCCAAGAGAAAGAGGCTGTAAACGCTTTAACAAACTATAAAGCGGACGGGCAGTGTTTTCTTGTTTACGCCCTTGCAGCAGAGAAACAAAAAAGGGGGGTTTACGACGCGCCCTTTGCGCGACCGGAGGCCATAAACGCCTCATCCTTGCCCGGGAACTAATTGTCATATTCGCCGTGTTTTCCATACGGCTGTATGGCCCTTCCTGTCAGGGTGGAAGCTGAGGTAAAGAAGAGCTTTTCTAAAGAGGAATACATTCTGGAAAGGTTAGGTTGTAAAAAGTAAGATGGCCTAAAGTGCAGCGATTAGCACAAAAAGACTCCACTGTGGAGTTATTTCTACTTTGATTGAGACTTAATTTCCCAGAATCTGCGCCCACTACGGGCCTGCAAGATGCCGATTAATCAGATATGAGGAATCGGTGATGGAAGTTCATATTATTTTGTTTTGGAGCTATCATTTTATTTCCAGCACTGTTTTCTGTTTTCGAGTCAATTGCACGCGTACCCCAGCCAAATAAAAATGTCATTACCCGAATTTAATTCATTGAGATTATACAGGCTGACACAAGAGGCCCAAATGTTGCACGCACCCGCCAGAATTACAGACCGTGTTGTGGTAAATCAGCTGATTGTACACCCGACTTTCTGAGGAATAATTGCCGCAGTATTTCCCAATTTATTACCCAGAATATGATCTTATCGAAACTTCACCGCGCCGTGTTTTACACATCCAATAAAGCGCTTGCTTATGAGCTCTGTTGTCTGCGTGTGAGATATGAATGTGGTGCGCACAAAAAGTCAGATTTTCGGACCAGCTTCCATGCGCGTGAGCAACTGTCCACACATGCCCGCTGTCAAAGCCAGGCCACTACAAAGGCAGTACGAGCCTGTTGTCAGGTCACTCACGCAGAATACACACAGCAGGACAGGACAACAAGCGGCCTCGCTGAACGTTAGAGACGCAGTGATCAGCTGCGCCCGAACTAACCGTGACGCGTGTGGTGCGGGAAGAAACGTCAAAAACTCGATTTCAGCCCTTGCGTCCTTATACGTCACGTCCTCTGGGTCAAATCTGCTCTTATTAAAATATTTAACAGGAGAGAGAGGCCGTAGTAGCCTCGCACAGAAAGACCTCTGTGTATCCTACATGCGCTGGATGTGGATTGTCCTCATGTTGTACATGAGGAAAAATGTTTCTGGCACACAGTAGGCCAACACAAGCACTTACAGCCCTTACATAATCTCTGCACCCACACATGCCTGTATATCAAGGAGAGCCTGAATGTGGGCAAGGTGCGAGCGTCCTTGGTGTAAATTTTGCACCAAGAAAAATAAACATTTCCTGGAAGCCTATAGTCAACATATCCTGCACGCCTGTGCATTATTATTTTTCCAAGGCCTCAACCCTTCCTCTTTGTCCCCTGTACGCTGTGAAAAGGACCTGGAACTACCTCAGACGTCAAGATTACCTGAAGCAAAGTCAAGAAGTAGCCTCGTCGCCTCACTTGTTTTTGAAAACGCACCCTTTAAATACACCGAGAAGAGGAATACGGCAAGTTTGACCCCCTTAAAGGAGCCCGTGCGTGTGTGTGTCCTTCATAAAAACAAAGACCAGCCTCGGGCGAGGCCTGTTTCATCGGTGGAGCAAGAGCGCCATCAAGTGACCGGTTGCAGTAAGGCCACGGGGGGAAGGCGGCCTGTAATGCGGCTTTATGGTTCTGTTAAGTGCGCACATAAAGCTACATAAGCTGCTTTAAAATAAAACTGCGTGTTGTAATTGGAGGCCAGATGTGACGGTTGATTTGGGATTTGCAGGAGAGAAAAAAAGAAAGTGAACTGAAGCCAGGCGGGCAGACCTCTCTGTGCGTGTTTGACTGGAAAAGGAAAGTGAAAAAAAAAAAGCAGGTCTGAACTGCACTTTAAATTAGAAACATCACACAAAGTCATTTACTTTCTGTAATACTTTCTTTATAGTTGTATCTCAGGCAGGCCTACAGATTAAACTAACAGCACAAAACTAAAGATCAAGAAGATTTATAGTTTGTAAAAGGTCAGTTTAGGCCTTTCGTAGTAAATTCTAATAGGCCATCCTGGAACTAACACTGCAATTTCACTACAAAGCTTTTTTTCTAGTATATCATAAACAATGTATTCACTGTACTTGTATTTTTTTGTTTTAGACTATATTTGTCAGATAGCTGACTTTTATTTGTTGTTACTATTTTTAGCATTTAATATCGGTGTTCGTGCACAGGCTGGTAGGCTCATGTATTTACTGGTAATAGTCATGTACGTTTAACTCATATATACTCGTCATATTAACTCATTAATGCATTACCCTAACCCTAACTCATTTTAATGATTACTGTTCTTATAATCTCGTATGTGTGTTTGCATTAAAACAAAATAAAACAAAATAAGCAACTAAAATCGAAATAATCAAATAAAATAATGAAATGACATCTTAAACAATAAACACTCAATTGTATTAATATTATATTCTAACCTTTTATTGATTGCATCCATGATTCTGTTTGATATTGATTGTTTCCTTGTTTGTTTTTTGTTTGTTTGGTGGGATTTGTGGGTTTGGGGGTGGGGGGTAAAGTGAAAGTATAACTGCGTGCATCACCTCCTCTGTGCCAGTGAAGTCCAGTTGAGGCCAGACCACCCGTTTTATTACCGCAGATGATCGTTGCTTTTATGTTTGAGGGTCCTGGTGTGTGCGTGTGCGTGTGTGTGCTTGTGCTTGTGCGTGTGTGTGTGTGTGTGTGTGTGTGTGTGTGTGTGTGTGTGTGTGCAGGTTGCTAAATTACAGGCTGTAAACAGTCTGTAAAAGCTCTTGTTAACATTATCTGAAGAGAGTGCGGCCCAGTTTCACCCCTCTGGAAAGTTGAGCCCCCCCCCCTCAGTCTATCAAAGCGGTGTGAAATCACAGGGAAAGAAAATAGCGCGAGATTTAAAAAACGAAAAAATTGATTGTAGGCCTAATAACAACAACTACACAGCACACCCTGTCTGTGGGGGTCTGCTGCCTGGGTGTGTTTTTGGTGGAGATTTATGCCTTCAGCCCGGACTTTAAGGATGCATCTGAGTTAGACAAAGGGAGCTAGGACACACACACACACACTCATACACGCACACACACAAAACCAGACTGCAAAAAAAATACCCCATTGGAGCCAAACGGCTACAAAACCATAAAACTCCCAAAGCTGAACAGAAGAGCAGGAGGAGGAGGAAGGAGATGCATCCTCCCTTCCATGCTGCTCCAATACAAAAGTAGCACAAAATCAGTTTAGGAGAATCCCACTATTTTTGGGTTTTGCCTGCATATCCAGGCCTTTCCATCCCTCTTGCGCATCTCTCCAGTCTACAAAGTCTGACAGGTATGACGAGGCCGTCACCTTCATATTTGCTCTTCGCGCCCATCAATGCCACTTCAACACCCAAATAAAAAATCAAACCGGATCTGAAACTTTTCCTCTAATATTTCCTCTCTCTGTGTGTCCCCCCCCCCCCCCCCCCCCCCCCTTCTCTTTCTTTCGACGTGTTTGCTTTACAGCCGTTTAGTTCTTAACCTTCAGAAATTTATACGCTATAAACTTTTATTGCCGTCATATTCTTTTATTGCGCAGCACCGCATTGGATCCTCTTTCTCTCCTCTTCTTCTCCGTCTTCCTCTTTGCTGTTTTTATGACAGTCGGCGGCGGCTTCTTCCAAACCGCACTCATCCGCTCCCGCATCCCTCATCACCCCCCCAACCCCTCCTTTTTTTAACCTTTTTTTTTCAACCCGTGAGCTCGAGACCCCCGGTGCGTGCAGCACATCCTGCTCCTCTCGTGCTGTTTGTTTCCGTGTTTGAAAATAGGAAGTGTGCAAAACAACTGACGTGAGAAAGAAGAGGAGGAGGAAAGAAAGCTGCAGGAGCGTTATTAGCCCGACGGGAGAAATACTATCAGATTTTTTTTTTCAAAGTAAAATAAAACAAATGAAACAAACCCTGACGGCGTGTTCGGCCCGGCGGAGTCCACTTGTGCTTTTGCAGTTACAGAAGAGATAAATGCAGGAAGCCTCATCCTTCCTGTGAAGCTCCACCGGGCGACTCACAGCAAGAAATCAAACTGGTCAGAGATTTGTGGCTTTGAAACACAACTGTGAATGCAGATGGATGTGAATCATTTGGAAGAAACGGAGCGGTGGGTTGTGCATGTTCCGCGGCTCTAACCGTTTCCAAAGGAATGGGCC